AGAGTAGAATAGAAAGTTCATAAAGAAATGCATATGTCTATGGTCAGTTGATTTTCTTTTCTTTTTTTTTTTGAGATGGAGTCTCACTCTGTCGCCCAGGCTGGAGTGCAGTGGCGTGATCTTGGCTCACTGCAACCTTCATCTCCTGGATCCCAGTTCAAGCAATTATCTTGCCTCAGCCTCCTGAGTAGCTGGGATTACAGGTACCCGCCACCATGCCCAGCTTATTTTTATTTTATTTTATTTTTTGAGACAGAGTCTCGCTCAGTCACTCAGGCTGGATTACAGTGATGTGATCTCAGCTCACTGCAAGCTCTGCCTCCTGGGTTCATGCCATTCTCCTGCCTCAGCCTCCCGAGTAGCTGGGACTACAGGCGCCCGCCACCATGCCTGGCTAATTTTTTGTAATTTTAGTAGAGACGGGGTTTCACTGTGTTAGCCAGGATGGTCTCGATCTCCTGACCTCATGATTTGCCCGCCTTGGCCTCCCAAAGTGCTGGGATTACAGGCGTGAGCCATTGTGCCCAGCCAGTCAATTGATTTTCAACAAGGGTGTCAAAGCCAACAGAGTGGAAATAACAGTCTCTTCAACAAATGGTCCTGGGAAAACTGGAAGGTCACAGGCAAAAGAATGAAGCTAGCTCATTACCTTATACCATATACAAAAATTCAAAGTGGGTCAATGATCTAAATTTATGAGCAGAAACTACTAGTCTCTTAGAAGTAACCATAGGTGAAAATCTTCATGACCTTGAATTAGGCATGTGGTGTTTTAAGTTTGACACCAAAAGCAGGCAAAAAGAAAAAAATAGCTAAATTGGACATCGTCAAAATTAGAAACTGTTGTATATCAAAGGCATTTCTCCCACAGAAGGAGAGAAAACGTTTGCAAATCACATATCTGGATGAGGGATCAATATCCAGAAGACACAGCAAGCTCCTGTAACTTAACAACAACAAAACAAACAACCCACTCCAAAAATGGGCAAATAACTTGAATAGCCATTTTCCAAAGAAGATACACAAATGGCCAATAAACACATAAAAAGATGCTCAACATCATTAGTCATTAGGCAAATGCAAATTACCACTATTCACACTTCTTAGAATGGCTATTTTTTTTTTTTTTTT